TTTCATCCTCATCGATCACCCTTCACTGGTACCCCGCCAGCGTATCCCGTTACCCCAGGCGGGGTTACCATTCCATTTTCATCCAATAAAAAAAATCCTTTAATAGTCAATTTATCTTTAAACTGTTCTGATTTACTGATATTTTAGACTACCAAAAAATTACATTGCAAACCATAGAAAAATAACTATAGAAACAATGTTAAACATGGTGGAAAACCAATGTCAATTGATTGACGTTAGTTGGGGCAATGACATATGAAGAACGCTTAATACCTGTCAAACTTATAGGGTTTCTTATGACACAAAAATATGTTTATAAATGAAAACAATCACTTATAAACATATTTTCGTGCCTTATATCTTTTTTCTTCTAAAATCCCTTTACAGTTTAAACAATAAATTACATAGCAGAAATTATTGCTACATGCAAAAAAATTACTATTTATATTTTAAATAGTATAATAACTCTATATATAATAATATATTTATTTACTAAAATAAATATTAATAAATTAACTTATACTTAAAAAAAAATAATAAATGACTATAAAAGCGTAATAGTTATGATTGTAAATATAATAATTTATATGATTATTATACCTAAGGACGTAATGTAATAAACAGAAAAAACAGTTGAAAATATTTTTGTGTCAATATACTACTCAATTTATTATTGAAAAAAAAATTAATTCTCAAATTAATATTGAAAAAAATTGACTCAGTCTATTGCTTTTACCCTATATTTCCATTAACGTTAGAAGTTGCTTCTATTTTTTTAAGATTCTGTACATTTACAGAGTCCAAACAAACTTTTTTCCTTTCACGAAGAAGGAACAACCTATCCAAATATTTAAAATCTGTAACCTCACTCGATCAGTACACGAATTTCTTTCTAAAATCGCTTGATATATACATAATTGGAACACACACACGCATTTTTTTTACATATTTAGATGAGTATACCAGTGTCTACATAAGCTAAAGAACACACACAGTATTGGAAACGGTAGTTAAGTGTATTTACCAATAAACGATCATTAAATGAGGTAGTATTCACGATGATGATTTAATTTTAAACCTAGGAAAATAACATCAACCACTTATTAGCATCTAATACATATTAATAGGATCTTATTAAAAATGTCCCGAATGCGAACCAGTAGAGAGCGATGTCAATGACCTTGCAAGTGGAAATCCACAAGTTCAAAGTTTTAGGAGACGAGTTCGACAAGGTCGACAGATTCGATAGGTGCTAGTTGAGCAAAGGTCATGATAGGTAATACAGTTCAACTACACTCATACGAAAACTTGAATATTTGAAGACGTTTCTATAGAGATTGTTTAAACAAAATTAGCGAGGTTAATTACTGTACTAATAACTAGTAGTTTTGTGTTATTTTTTCAGTACTAATGTTGGTGAAACTTATGTTGATAAAAATACCAATTTTGATATTCGTGTCAACGTTTTGTGAAGAGGACTTGCCACCAGTAGTAAAGACTCTACTGTTAGTAAAGATTAACCCTCCTCTGTTACTATGAATGTCTATATACTGTTAGAAAAAAATAATAAAACGATGATACTAATGATGGGAATAATCCTTAACACAACGGTGAATAGTCGAATATAACACTAATTCAATCGCTACTGAGTTTTGTATTAAACAAAATTGTTTTAACTAAATCTGGTACTAGTACCTTTATTTTCTGGTACTAGTACACATTATTTAACATAATTAGAAAAAAAAAATATTGCAAAGCAACTTTAATGCAAATTAATATTAAAATATTATGGTAAATTTTACTGCCACTATCATTTTTATATTTTTGTCTATGATTAGTTTTAGTATCTACCGTCGGCTTTACTAAAAATGTAATATATCTTGAAACTAAAAATTCCATTCGAGTTTAAATTCAAATTCAGAATTCCATTTCAACGACAAATTATTCACATAATTCTGACTTTTTATAGTCAAACATGCTATTACTGGGTCGTAATACTGAATATAACTTACCATCCCATACAAGGAAGGTCTAGATCTAACCTCTCTTGAAGGCCGTGATAATGAATCTAATAAAACGTGCGCTCACAATTAGTCTTTGCATTACTATTCAATATTTTTCTAGTTGCATATATGGTAATGATGTAATTTACTAATAGCATGATTTTGCGATCTATTGTATATAAAGGAGTCTACAGTTATTTTAAAAATAATAAAAAAAAATCTTTCTTTTCACCATTTTTCACGGGAAAATTTGATTGAAATTCAGTTTTTGATTTGTGTGTGTTTTTAATTCTGTAAAGCTGGTATAGGTACTAGTACTATAGGCGCCTGCAACACTAGTGCGATGCCGACCCTGAAGAAACCTTAATACACTATTTTTGAAAAATCTCATACTGTAGTCTCTAGGAAAAACCTCGGCACTGCCTGTCCATACATTCCACAGTTCTAGCGTGTGAGTATGAAATCCCTGTCTATGTCAATGATAAAAGGTGGCGCGCAGTCTTATGAAAAATATTCTATATTATATAAAAAATATTATAATAGTAATTAAAATGAAATAAAAAGTTGTGATACTAACTTTAATCGTTCAATTTGACAGAAATAAATCGATAGAGACAAAGTCTCAAACCCAAAGCGAACGAGTCGTCATAAACGTTTCATTTGTAATCACGACAAAAATATATACAATGGCTGAACAAATCACAGAATGAGGAAAACTAGTTGATCAGGTTCTAGAATTTTTTCAGCGTTCATACAAAAATTTCGTATTGTCACGCAGTACCAACCCGCGGGCGACGAAGCGAGGCGGCGCGGCGGGAAAAAACAACCTATTCATATACTATAATAGCTTCTACATGAACGCAGGCAGGAGTTACTAAGCTCACGGATAAGGTATCTAGGATGCCTACTATCATATATGCACTCGTATGACATCTATTTAAATAAAATTATGAATTAAAGATGAAGAATCCTTTATTCTGTGTCATACTAAGAATTATCTACTATATTTCTTTATTTCGCAGAACATAGAGTGCATTGTAGCAAAGGCCTCCTTCAATTCTTTCCAATAGTTTCTATCCCGTGCGGCTCTACTCCAGTTTAGACCTGCTGTTTAGTTTAGATCATCTTCCCAGCGTCTCTGAGGACGGCGTCTTTTTCTTTTAGTATCCCATGGGCATCTAACCCGTATGATATATTAGTAATGGAGACTGAGAATCCCATTGCTAGCAATATACCCAACCAGGTCGACCTCCTCGCGGTTCCCCCTGGAAACTATCATGGTTAATTCCTGATGAATTCATCATGATGTTTCCATTCTCATCTATCACCCTTTACTGGTGCCTCGCCAGCGTATCCCGTTAGCGCAGGCGGGGTTACCATACCATTTTCACACATAAAGAAAAATAAAACCGTATGATATCTAATTATGAATTAGTATATATTTATTTATAATTATATTTTCCTTATTGCTCTAATAAACTCATAATAATAAATTACCAATTAACTTATTTACCTTTTATGGAATTGTCTTTAGTATAATTATAATTAACATCACTACCAAATTTATTTGATCATTAAAATCAAATCATAAATGTATTATATTAACTTTAGGGTTGACAACTATTAAACGACACAGTTCTTTCATTATTTATTTATTTATTTATATGCGCGATATACCGTGAAGTCCCGGTATAGAATAGGCCACCCCTTCCTTTCCAGTGTCGTAAGAGGCGGCTAAAAGAAAGCCAGGGATGGGCAGCAGCGTCCCTCTTTAAACATCTCTAAAGCCTAACTGCGGTTGCCAATCCGTCTGCCAACATTGGCAACAACTAGCAACCCCCTTATAAAGGCTTATATTCAGCAGTGAACAGTTAAAGGCTGATATAATGATAATAATGATGCACGATATATCGTATTCAAATAGCCAATCTCTTGCAATGTTAAAATAAAATAATAAACGACTAAATTCTACTGACTCTTTTACTACTAAACAATTTTTAATAAGTGCATTTCGTTATAATATTATTATTATTGTTTCGCATATTTTTACATTTTTAAATCACGTTATCATTTGAGAGAAATTTTAAATAAAAGAACATATTAGCCAAACTATGTGTCGATACAGTTGTGGAATTACTAAATACTCTACCATTTTACTCTTTTCCATGCCCATTGTTCTTTATACCTCATGGTTATTTTATCTCACATTTGCTCGATATTATTTTAGATAGACGATCCTGCACGCATCTAATCGATTAGATACGATTCCGGAGAGCTCTTGATAATTGTATTGATCCAAATAGCTGTATAACTGAATGGAACATCTATGTTTATTAGATATCTACATTGCTTTTCTCTCTTAGATGCATTTCGCTATATAAGAAATAAATTTATAACAATTTATTTATTATATTGCAGGTACTGTCGCGTCATATTCAATTTCAGTATGAAATGCCTCCTTTACAAGTTTATAAGTTAGTGGTATTACATACATTGTAAAGGTGCTCCACTGTAGGTACTTGTAATATCACATCTATTGTTGATAAGTAAATATTGAAAGTTGAAATGACGCGAATTATTTATTCTTCTTACAACTGCATAGCTCTTGTTTGAAGTTATCAAATTCACTTAGAAAATGCAGATAGAAAAAAAATGTATGTGAAAAACACAGTAACTGAAATATACGAAATACAAAAGAACAATGACCCAGATCCAGCGGTGATAACTATCGGCGTGACGCATATGTGGAATCGATAACAGTGAGTGTGTAACATGCACGCACCGGCGGACGTTATCGCGCCAATATTTACCGAATCAACAGCAACACGCGAAATGACGCGCTCGCGACCGTGTGAACGGGCCGGATACTACGGCACACTAATTGTATTAGGACCCTTAACACGCCATATATCTCGTGTTATAGCCACCGAAAGGGCGACCTCTTTCAAAAGAACACCAGGACGTGTTGAGAAAATATAAAAACTTCATTATACCTACCTATTCAAAGGCCGGCAGCTGCATCGAAACGGAACGGCAGATGCGCGTGAGCAACCGACGCTGTTATTACAGAAACGACAAAAACCAGCCGGTCTCAAAGTTGGAAAGCGTTTCACTAAGAGTTGGACGACTTACCAGCGGCTGAACATCGTGATGACTGTGGCAGCGGTGGCGCACTCACAAACAGCACACGTGCACGAACGCCGCGGTCGCGCACCTGTCGCGGAATGACTGGCCATTTCCATATTTGATTCTATTTATCAACGGGCGAGGCGCGCGCGCAGCCCGACGCCTCGAGGTGGACTGGCAGCCGCCGCGCGCGCTACCTGCGATCACCTGTCCCCCTCCCCACTACCAGGAACCGGATGGTATTCCAAAAACAAAACGGCCAACAAAGGACGTGCCGCGAATGTTCGCGCCGCCACCGGTCGGATCTACTGAGGGCCGCCGGGGGCTCGCCGGCCGGACCCCTGTTTAAACAGATACAGTGACACCTGACACATTCGCCGAAGCTGCCCCCACTAATAGCTTGAATGATTTACGAGTATCCGATAATATGTCTTCGGACAATTTTGACTCAGCAGTTCGATGCACTCACAACGAATACCGTATACATATTGTTGGGATTAACGATAATACGAAAAACAATCGATTTGATGACCCACAAAAGGTACTCGATCATCGATTGACAACACAAGTATAAAGAATGATTGCACAATCGATTTATTGAAACACATATAAACACAAACAATGGCATCCGAACGAATTGATTTCGTTTGTTACTAATAACAGTGATTTGGTTTCATTTATTTACACGTTGGATCCTGTTGTAAAACGGATGAATGATAGACGACTGGCGGTGCTTTTCAACGTTATCAACAAAATTCTATCGGTACTCCACTATTGATATGCTATCGATTCGTTCAATAAGGTTATAATTAAATTTTACTATCGTGATTTCGTCTCTAGGTTTTATTTTATTTATACATTCATGCTCTATGTGTTTACCAATTTCTTCTTTTTAAGCTCTTTCGATAATTTATCATCACATCAGCAGTTAACTGTCCACTGCTGAACATAGGCCTCCTCCAAAAGCTGGGTTTTTTTTTCAATTGTTGTCACGCTTGACAGAAATGTTGGCAACCGCAGTTAGGCTTTTGGTGATGTTTAAAGCATCCCTACTGTCCATCACACGACCACTAGTTTCCTTAGTCGCTTCTACGATACCCACGGGAAATAAAAAGGTGGCCTATTCTATGCCTGGACCACACGGCGACCTTTCTACACTTCCTATTACACGTACCTACTCATCACTAATCAATCGTCTTCATTACTGTAATGTTAATTAAAAAAGTCACTTGTGAAATAAATTACGTAAACACAATTTCTCTATGTCAAAGTCCACATTTCTACCAAACTGCAAACTCTTCGAAATTCCGTACAAGACACGGTTTGGTCTGCATTAGAAAATAAAAAATTATGTCATTTCAACAAATAATTTGCAATTCACGAAACGTCTATAAATGTGTCATGCACTAAACTAAAAATAAACAAAAGTAATCATTTGTTATTTTATTTATTTATTAATAAAATGTTCACTTTCTTTATTACTCAATCTGATGACCGAATGAGAATAGATTGAAGTCACAGCTCCTTTTCGTTCCCAGGGCGTCGTGAAAAGTAATTAAACGAACAAAGCATGATGAATAAAACAGTATCACCATATGCCAGTGCAAAATGAGAAAAACTCGAAATAATATCCCAAACCAAAATGCCTAGTGGTAATAGTAAACTAGTATTTTTTTCTCTTATGGAAAAAATGGTTCTCCTCTAATGGTCTGTCCAGTTCTAGAGTTAGGACATACGAGTAAGCATCCTCAGTTTCCAGAGACATTACAGTTTCTGACAAGTATACCCACCTCAACTGCAGTGTGCTAATTCTTTCTATTCCCCATAAATCAATTATTCCTTTTTACTAACTTCCTTTACTCATTCTCAATGTCCTTTTTGCTTAATCCTTTTCTCCATACCCGCTACCTTCAGTATGAGTTTACTCGTATTGGTGGTCTAATACGGATAAATGCATTCCCAAGAAAAGTTGACGTCAGCCAAGCGGCTGGTCGTAAATTCAGAAGCCAAAAACCTTGTGTAATATAAATAAAATCACCAACCCCAAATCATTCAGATAAAGACAGGAAGATGATGATGATGGAAAGTGATATGCATTAATAGTAATAGAACGTTTTTTTTTTTTTTTTTTTTTTTTTTTTTTTATACTACTTAATAGAACGATGGAAAGTAGTAACATAGACATGAGCAGTACCATGGACATTGAGAGATACTTTCTTAAAAATGTAATAAACCTACACCGAAAAAAAAGTGAAAAAAGGAAATAATGTCATTAATAAAAAATAATATTTTTATAGTTGTCATTTTCGAAATCTTGGGAACTAAAAAATATGAACAATGCTGGAGGTGTGCTCTATTTTCCAAACAAAAGAAACTACAACTAGAGATTTTTCCTTTTTTAATACATCTAAATCATATATTAAAAACTTTTTCTTTTAAAACCTTACAAATATAAAATTTACAACTATCATAAACAGACAGTGAGTTTTAAGAATTACGTTGACATGGCATAAAGCGAATCGCGATAAACGCAAGAGGTGAGCTGTCGCAACCGATAGCCACCACGTCACGGCGCAGCCTGATAACAATGTTACATTCTAAAACTATTTTTATACGTCTTTCTTATTGTATTACAATTTTTCAGCGACTTTTCAGTACAACTTACACTTTTATACGTATAGAATAAACATTCTATAACGAAAATCTTTATAACATTTACACTTAGAAATAATTAACAAGTATTTTTACTTGAAAGTGTTTCCTCACTCAAATGGAGTTAGGAAGAAAGATTTCAGACTTATTATAAAATAATCTGACCAAAATAAAGAGGAGAGAGAAGAACTTTTAGTGAGAAGAAACAATGCACTAAATACAATTTAAAAAACGAAACTTATTAACTGCATCGTATATACAACTTATCCATTATCCACTGCTGGACATAGGTCTCCTTCATATTACTCCACAAAGTATGATCTTACATCACTTGCATCCAATGACTTCATTTAACACTCTTGAGATCCTTATTCCATCTCACTAGAAACATTTGTTTTGAACTAAATACATTATATCACAGGCCAATGTCACGTTACGTTTGTATTTTATCTGAAAAACCTACTGAAATAAGGAAATTAGGTCGAGTCCTTGCATACGTGTTAATGGTAGTGTTCTGATAAGCGTAATTGGCCTCTACGTATCAGTCATTTTCCAATTACAAAACATACATTTCAAATAATCAAAACTTTGGATTTATATTTAGAATTGCATGCAAAAATGATATACTGTATTATATCTTTGTCAGTCAATTATTATTATATTATTAATATGTACTATGTATTAATATTTTATAAAATAAATAATTACATAAATTATAAATCATTATATATATAATGATTTATAATTTATGTAAATATTTATTTTAATTTCTGTTTTGCAATACTACTGCCCACTCACTACTTCCTATGCCACTGCATTAGGTTGACTGGAAGAAATCTCTTTTAGAGATAAGTTCGCCTTTGCTAACATTGTTATTAACTTAGTGTTGTTACTGTATGTTTTAGTGCAATAAAGAATATATATATTACAGAAAGGCAAACTGATATAATTAAGCATTAAGCATTTGACATTAAACTCGCCACTTGTACAAAGTTTTATTGTACAATAAAGAATGAATAAATATAATTTATGTAATGTAGAGATAAAAGAAAACAAAAGGAAAAAGGGAATCATTCAACGGTCCTCTACTCGTATATACATGAAAATTCCAAATTAAAAGTCATCTTAGCATATTTAAAGAGGTTTATTCGAATAGATATCTATGATAGTTTTTTATCATGAAGTGTGAGTCTACGTGAGTGTTGAAGAAACATGAACCGCATTGTAAAAGTAATGGTTAAAACATAGATACATAGAAACCAAGCAATAAAGTGATTGAAATAATATAAAATGATAGTAGATTCGTTCACTAAAATATCTGTGACTGAGCATGACATCTAACTGATTGACCCTGACAATTGTCACTCTATAGGCTTCTAAAAACAATCTATATGGAGGGATATTCGATGATAATCATCTTGATTCGTTTTTTAATTGCTTGTCTTTTTATCTTATCTTTTAAACTAAATAATGCAAACATACTTCGATTAAAATATATAAATAAACACAATATATTGTATATAAACATTGTACCAAAACAAAAAAAAATTACTTAGTAATATTCTTGTAATTGTTATTCTTAGAACATAAGGAATATGAATCATAAAAAAGTGAAAACTAAAAAACATTGTATATTACTTTTTTATACAACTTAGAATGGCAAACTGACAGTCCACCTGATGGAAAATGGTAACCGTCGCCTATAGACATGAGCAATAACATGGACATAATAGAGTATACTGTTTCGCCAATGATACCGCCCACGCGTTGCCACTCCTGAGGAATCAAGTGTTATTACTCTGTACCCTGTAATTTTACTGGCATATCCTACCCTTCAAACCGGAACACAGCCATTCAAACACAACTGTTTCACTATTGAAACACGAATGGGACAGAGGTACCCAAGCAAACGACTTTTTTACAAAGTCTCCATCTGGTAGGTAGTTTTTCTACTCTAAGTGTCAAATATTCATAACATTTTACATTCATATTATGAATATGATTATTTGTTATGATTTATTTAATAAATATATTAATTAAGATACTGGTATTTAGTATTCATAATTCCGATTTTTAAAAAATCCGATTTTAGAAAATACATTGAGGTCAGAAGGAAAAAAATGTTAGGACACTTGATACGACACGACGAACTTATGAACATTATACTAGAAGGTAAGACAGAAGGAAGGAGGAAAAGAGGGAGACCAAGACATAGTTACAACAGGCAGATAAAAAATAAGGTGGTATTGTGTCGTATCAAAAGGTGAAGAGAGTCGCTGAAAATCGTAGTGAGTGGCAAGAACTCCACCGACAAGAGCTCTCTTAAAAAGCAAATGAAATGAAAATTAATTTTGACTTTACTATTTTGCTGGCTATCTACCATTACCGTACTATTATTTTAATAAAGTACTTTGTCTTCAGAGTCATTGCACTGCATGATAATTCGTCTTACACTGTAAGAAAATCTATTTTGAGCATAACTAGAAACTATGAGAATATTCCGCTGTAATAATGATTCTTAGTAAAGAGATATAAAAATATTTAAGACTTTATTTTTTACAAGTAAACACTCGTCGCTCTATTCTTTATAACATCAATAGAAATTTAGCTGTAATATATAACCATTACAAAAGTTTACTTAGCGATAAAACTGCTTTTTGTAACACTTATCCTGAAGTATTTAAACCTTATTTTTATAAATACTGCTATACCAATACCAGCTAAATAAAAAAAAATATTGAGGGTAAATTATCGAGATAAACACTTTACTATTTCTAAAGTTAGAGCAAACAATACAAATTTACTGATTATTTGATGGAAATAATGAATAACACCTAGAACAGTAAAATAAATAAATACACATTTTACAAACTTTTATTAAAATCGATTAAACGATTTTGAAGATTAACGTGAATATCGAATAAAATCGAGTAATTTATTTTTTATATATTTAAATTAATTTATTTTACGTACCCAATAATATATTACAACTTGTGGCCCCGGCATAGAATGGGCCACCCTTTTCTT